TGTAGTGCAGCTATTCTATACCATATGTCTCTCTGTCGTAGAGGCATTTAAATAGGGGAATCGAGTTAATCTCCACCACTTTTATATTTGCCTCGTTCTACTCATACTTTAAGCGGATATACTTCCCTCATAATTTAAAATTTCTCCTGTATCCCCTCAATCTATTTCCTCTGTTTCGATATAAGCTGTGCCTGACAACTGTGTCTAAGCTGTTATCTTTTTACATTGATGTTGGTTACTTCTGTAATTTACCTTTGAAGATTACGTTTATCATTTCTGGTCCTCCTCTATCTATGGACGCTCTCAATTTTAATTTTGTGTTTTACAAGTTATGTATTTCTGTTAGCGTTAGTTTATACTACATTCATTACAAGTTTAATTATGGTTTTGGTGATAATGATAATAAAAGTAAATGAAAAGCCTAGTTAAAGATCAATTACAAAATAATACTTTGAAAAGTTGCAACAGGTTTCGAAACGAAACAAGTTTCGGTTTCATTTGCTCGAAATGCTGTTCATACTAGTGGCTTGAGGCATAGTATATACTAGCGCTACCTAGAAATCCAACGTTCTGTTAGTAACTCATTTTGTATGTACGTTTACATGAATAAACATCATTATTATTATTATTATTATTATTATTATTATTATTATTATTAAACATAAACAGTAGTATGCATCTTTGCATTCATTGCTTCACACAAGGATACACACAACTCCTTCCCTGACCGTCTCTCTCAGTGTTTAGTGTCCAAAGTTAATAATCATTATAGAGGTTCCAGTAATCCCTCTTTACCTGGTCTCAGCACACTTCCTTTCCAAGTCTTACCTCACCCCTCGGGGGGCCTCGTAGCCTGGTGGATAGCGCGCAGGACTCGTAATTCTGTGGCGCGGGTTCGATTCCCGCACGAGGCAGAAACAAATGGGCAAAGTTTCTTTCACCCTGAATGCCCCTGTTACCTAGCAGTAAATAGGTACCTGGGAGTTAGTCAGCTGTCACGGGCTGCTTTCTGGGGGTGGAGGCCTGGTCGAGGACCGGGCCGCGGGGACACTAAAGCCCCGAAATCATCTCAAGATAACCTCTCAAGATAACCCCTTAGTAGACAATATTCTACTAAGGGAGGGTCTTCTTCATTTCCTCTTTAGTCGATTTCTTTAAGTATTTCTCATATTCTTTAACCAAAAAATCTTTTAAAGATAACGGGCTTAATCTGCTGTGTGCTTGTGTACTTTCTGCATCTGTGAGAAAAATATGTATTTGTGAATACCTTCTACTTGAAGTCTCTTGTAGCCGCCTCCTGCGGCTAAAACAATCTTTCACAGCTCTGGGTGGGAAGACGCCTCGACCTGGAAGGTTGAACGTCGAGTAGGGTGTCGCCGGGACATTCTGCCTGTTTATTGGCATTGGATCCTCTCAAACCTGTCGCCAGGGGCTGCATCCAGTCGAGGGAGAGGACGTCTGGTGCACAGTTACGGGTCTTGCTTTACCCTGGCCAGTTGGGGGGAGAATTCTGTGTAGTCATTCCTTTATCCGAAAATTATTTAACACGGCTCTCCTTTGATTGTTCTTTGGTTACACGTTTAGTTGTGTTTTAGCTGAGCCATGGATGTAGGGAATGGGGTGAGAGGATTGGAGGCATATATAATCAAACGCAGAGGATAATTATCTCGCTTTTAAAGAGAGGATTGTATATAGGGAGGAGCGGGCAGGTATTCTCACTGATCCTGGCGCAGTCTACACTCCCTTGGGAATGTTTCATGGTTGTGGGGTGACTTGGTGTATATTGAGCGTGTGGGAATTAACGTAAATATTCGATGGAATCTCGGAGCAAATGGTTGTGACCATAGTACAAATTACAATAATAACGGTTAATTAAATCAAGTTTATGATAACGAAGGTAATGATGATAATCAACATAATTATGATGATAATGAACGTGATTATGATGATAATGGTTGCAATGATCTATCTTGAGGTTATCTTGAGATGATTTCGGGGCTTTTAGTGTCCCCGCGGCCCGATCCTCGACCAGGCCTCCACCCCAAGGAAGCAGCCCGTGACAGCTGAGTAACACCCAGGTACCTATTTTACTGCTAGGTAACAGGGGCATAGAGTGAAAGAAACTCTGCCCATTGTTTCTCGCCGGCGCCTAGGATCGAACCCAGGACCACAGGATCACAAGTCCAACGTGCTGTCCGCTCGGCCGACCGGCTCCCTGATAATGATAATGATGAAATCCTTATGTTGACCAAACCACACAATAGAAAATGAAAACACGACATGTCGTCTATTCATCTTGTATTGTGTTGTTTGATCATCATATCTTCAGTCACGTTATTGTGACTCATCATCTGCAAATTCTTAATTTCAGGAAATTAAGAATTAATCCTGAAATCCTGAAATTAATCCTGAAATTCTTAATTTCAGGATTAATTTGAAAGCGAATATCTAACAAAATATAAAATCGTAAAAAAGTACGTCATGGACGACACGAACCTGAACGTCCTGTAAGTTTCAGCAATGACAACCGCTGTCATCCTGACACACAACATATACAACAGCTTACAGTTTCAGACTTACGAAAGTTCCCTTAGCCTGTGCATCAAGCACGCAGTCATCGCGTCGTTTTCTTCAAGTAATGTGACACAGCTAGAAATTATTCAGTATTAATCGTGTCATTTGTCTTATAGTTAACATGTATATATATATCCGTGCATAATGCGTCTGGTCTACATGTATCCCTGCATTAGCCGTCGGGTATATTAGTATCCGTGTATAATCCGTCGTCACACAGCCGTTCGTGTAGTATTTCTTATTAATCTAGCTGGAACGAATAACGTCTGTGACGTAAAATAAGCTTATGACCATCTACTAAATTTAAATTAAACTAAAGAATCCTCAAAGCTATACATGGTATACATGTATCCCTGCATTAGCCGTCGGGTATATTAGTATCCGTGTATAATCCGTCGTCACACAGCCGTTCGTGTAGTATTTCTTATTAATCTAGCTGGAACGAATAACGTCTGTGACGTAAAATAAGCTTATGACCATCTACTAAATTTAAATTAAACTAAAGAATCCTCAAAGCTTAATATATTAATGTAAGAGATGTCTATGGTTAGGTTTGGTGAGGTTCTGCAACCTGGTATCCGACTTTGTTTCATTGAGCCTTAACCGGTCTTGATTACATGCAAGGAACGTCTAGTTACGTCATAATTCAGAGCCATCTTCGGCTTAAGGCCCTAATTTATATATACAGTATGAAGAATTTAGTAGAAAGAGTAATGGATAACCTTCATGCTATAATCCAGACTGCATCTATCTCCTTCTGTTATCAGAAATGAGCAGGACGTTCCCTGCTTTCACTCCTGACGCAAATGGTACACTTACATTTGGTGAGTAACTTTACGTTCCTACAGTTACTCACCTTATATTCCTACAGTTACGTTATATTCCTGTAGTTACTCACCTTATATTCCTACAGTTACTCACCTTATATTCCTACAGTTACTCACCTCATATGTCTACAGTTACTCACTTTATACGACTACAGTTACTCACCTTATATTCCTGTAGTTACTCACCTTATATTCCTACAGTTACTCACCTTATATTCCTACAGTTACGTTATATTCCTGTAGTTACTCACCTTATATTCCTACAGTTACTCACCTTATATTCCTGTAGTTACTCACCTTATATTCCTACAGTTACTCACCTTATATTTCTGTAGTTACTCACCTTATATTCCTACAGTTACTCACCTTATATTCCTACTGTTACTCACCTTATATGTCTACAGTTACTCACTTTATACGACTACAGTTACTCACCTTATATTCCTGTAGTTACTCACCTTATATTCCTACAGTTACTCACCTTATATTCCTACAGTTACTCACCTCATATGTCTACAGTTACTCACTTTATACGACTACAGTTACTCTTTGTTAATCAAGAAAAATTTAACTAAACAAAAATGCAAACAATAAATGAAGATAACTGATTTACTTTTATCTAGCACTGTTTAACGTTGCCAGCAGCATGACCAGAACACTGGTGCCGGTGTTGGAAGGTTTCCTCTGGAGCTGACAGTAACGGATCGACCCAAACTACAAGCTCAAAAGACTTGTCTTATTACAATATTTTTATTTCAGAAAGTGGCAAGCGGTTTACAATAGTATTATTTAAAGATAACTGAAACTTTCATTGTTTTATTGAAAGTTTGATAACAAATCAACAACGTGCGTGAGATCTTTTACTTGAAGGAAACTAACACAGTCTCGGAGCTAATTGAGCTTCTTAGATAAGAGATATCATTGTTTCAGCGTCAGGAATGTCGATATGAATGGGGGGAGATATTTAAGTCCTATACATCCCAGGGGTTTTGAGCCTGTTCGAACATATTGGATATCTTCCTAAAATTCTGATGCCAATCTCTTCAAAGACTCGATCTTGTTTCAAGATGCTTGACGCGATGAACGATATAATTTCTACCTGTTTTCGGCTTAATTCACCTTTACTCTCTATCTTGCTCTGATGAAGGCGAATTGAACCGAAAACGCGTTCTGCATTTCTTAATTTTTCAAATGTGATTTTTCCGCATACAAATATATGAAAATATAAGCCAATAACACATCGATTATAATCACAAACTGAAAGTCAATCATTAGAAACGTTTTGCTCAATATCTTCCTTACTAAAATGAATACTGTTTATAAAGTTTATATCCTTTGATGCTTTCACAGGTGAAAGCTTATTTCCCAATTACAAACTACAGTTGTTTAACAAACACAAGAAATAATTGACCTAGAAGCTCCACTGTATTACGTCTTGATAATTTTAAACTATCTCATTAAGGCTTGAACTGAAAATATTGATCAATTATTATAGATGTAAACACTTAACACCTGAAGATAGCTATCAAGTGATTATAAAGATACTTCAAGGCTAATATTACTTTAAATATTGATTAGTACTTTGGTTTTCTCTTTCAGGTCCTTACTGTCCACGAACCTTCGATGGCTGGTCGTGCTGGAACGACACTCCAGCAGGCACCCGGGCCTACGTCCAGTGCCCGGATTTCATCACGGGATTTGATCCGCAGAGTGAGTATACCTCCTTATGCAGCCTTTAGGGTGCAAGTTGAATTGCAACATAGCGATAGAAAAGCCAGTTATCTCCCCCCCTTCCTTCCCTTCCCAACCAGTTTTCTCTCCTCCTCTCACCTACCAGTTCCCTCCCACTGCCTCTCCCAAATCAGTTTGCGCTTCCCCACTGTGGTTGAGCGCCTCCTAAAGCCTGGCTGTAAATTATTAAACAGTGGGAGACGAGAGGCAAGCCTAAAGCCGCTTGACCGTGGAGCTGCAACAGGCTGGATGCAATAATTCTGTCAGTAGAGTTTCATTTCTTGCCTCGTTGCGTAAGACGCGAGGAATATTAAGCCTTTGCTTACTCTTTCCTCATTTGGTGGTGGGTAGTTAAGTGCACGTGCGAGAGGCTCTTAGTGCACGTATGAGTGGTTCTCTGTGCACGTACGAGAGTGTACAGGGGGAGATATTCCCAAATCTTGGTACTAGAGGATCAAGGTGCACGTACTTACAATGCACTCGAGACAGGCTCTTAGTATACGCTGCCGAGTCTGTTCGTATAGGAACGAGAGACTGCCAATCAAGCGGCTGGTATTCTATTAATAAACGTGACCCCAGGGCCGTACTCTGCGGTACTCGAGACTTTGAGTCATCTTTGGCCACTTGCTCGCAACTTCAAGCAAACTCATAAATTCAGCTTAAACTTGTGATGCTTAATATACGTTTAATCCAGTAATATATGAACTTGACTGAAAAACTCTTCGTGTTGTGGTTAAATGAAGCCAAAGTAAAGGCTAGCGACTTCATTAGGGAGACAGCTTAGAAAGTTTTACCTCGTTGATTATGCAAAAATTGAGGGTAAGTTTATAAGCGTTTTATGTAAACATTTTATAATAAGTGCCTTCGATACAAACACTGCTAAAGTCATAATAAAGTTTGTTTTTCTATTATATATATATATATATATATATATATATATATATATAAATACTTAAAAAACAAAACACTTAAGCGCACTTAAAGTGATCAATACAAATAAAACTTATTAACTGTCACATATATTAAAGCTAATTTAAAAATCCATTAAACTACAAGATGAATTTTATAACTACTAAAACAAACCATTCTATTAAACTTACGTGATGTGATCAGAAGTGAAACTTGATACCTAACACATAGATACTAAACACTATAACAAATATTTATATAATGACTACAAATCTACAAAAAATGTATGTAAAATACAAACAGAATAAACGACAATTAAAAAGTACTAACCAAAATCTTATAAAAATCTCAAATATTAAATAAAATTAAATACCAAAAAATGTATTATATATCCTAAATAAAAGATTATATTAATGTACAATGTCAAGACTTGAAATAAGTAAGAAAGGGCAAAGACATGGTAAACTAAACAAAATTATAATAAAATTAAACTACCAAAATGAACTATAAATCAAATTACAGGGCCTACTGTGCACTATACAGTGTACAATTGAACAGCTGAAAGGTTGCTATTTAACAGAGGCCGCAGCTCCTTTATATATAAGGATTCCATTACTCTCAAATCTGACTGGCCATTCATACAAGTGTCCAGAATTTTAAAATCAGATTCCAGCAGAGAATGATCAAACTCATAACAATGGTTTCTAATCTCCGAAAATGCTGGTTTAGACGATGGTAATCCAGTCCTAAAAGATAATCCCCGGTGCTCAAGTGCTCAAATGTCGTATATATGTATAATTGTTCCAGCTGTAATGCTGGATATATCGGGAGTTCCATTCGGAACTTTAAGATTAGGATATATATATATATATATATATATATATATATATATATATATATATATATATATATATATATATATGACGTACCTAGTAGCCAGAACGCACTTCTCAGCCTACTATGCAAGGCCCGATTTGCCTAATAAGCAAAGTTTTCATGAATTAATTCTTTTTTGACTACCTAACCTACCTAACCTAACCTAACTTTTTCGGCTACCTAACCTAACCTAACTTTTTCGGCTACCTAACCTAACCTAACCTATAAAGATAGGTTAGGTTAGGTTAGGTAGGGTTGGTTAGGTTCGGTCATATATTTACGTTAATTTTAACTCCAATAAAATAAAATTGACCTCATACATATTGAAATGGGTAGCTTTATCATTTCATAAGAAAAAAAATAGAGAAAATATATTAATTCAGGAAAACTTGGCTTATTAGGCAAATCGGGCCTTGCATATTAGGCTGAGAAGTGCGTTCTGGCTACTAGGTACGACATATATATATATATATATATATATATATATATATATATATATATATATATATATATATATATATATATAATATATATATAATTTTATATATATGTATATATATATATATAATATATATATATATACATATATATATATACATATATATATATATATATATATATATATATATATATATATATATATATATATATATATATATATATATATTAGTATATTTTGGTAGCAGTCTTTCCTGTAGACATATATTATTAAATATGACCGAAAAAGTAAGATTAATAATTCTAACACGAATTTTCTCAATCTTTCGTACATTACGCTTCACTGTTGGAGGTAAATCAAAAATCACTTCTCCAAAATTCATTTTTATTTCTAGTCTGACGCGACACGGGCGCGTTTCGTAAAACTTATTACATTTTCAAAGACTTCACAAATACACAACTGATTAGAACTTGCGTTTCTCTGATTTTATATCTACATTTGAGTGAGGTGGGAAGGGTGATGTGGCATTAACACAAGACAGAACAATAGGGGATATTAATAGGGTATTAAAAGTATCAACACAAGACAGAACAGAAACAATGGGTATTGAATAGAAGTGTTTGTAGAAAGCCTATTGGTCCATATTTCTTGATGCTTCTATATTGGAGCGGAGTCTTGAGGTGGGTAGAATATAGTTGTGCAATAATTGGCTGTTGATTGCTGGTGTTGACTTCTTGATGTGTAGTGCCTCGCAAACGTCAAGCCGCCTGCTATCGCTGTATCTATCGATGATTTCTGTGTTGTTTACTAGGATTTCTCTGGCGATGGTTTGGTTATGGGAAGAGATTATAAGTTCCTTAATGGAGCCCTGTTGCTTATGCATCGTTAAACGCCTAGAAAGAGATGTTGTTGTCTTGCCTATATACTGGGTTTTTTGGAGCTTACAGTCCCCAAGTGGGCATTTGAAGGCATAGACGACGTTAGTCTCTTTTAAAGCGTTCTGTTTTGTGTCTGGAGAGTTTCTCATGAGTAGGCTGGCCGTTTTTCTGGTTTTATAGTAAATCGTCAGTTGTATCCTCTGATTTTTGTCTGTAGGGATAACGTTTCTATTAACAATATCTTTCAGGACCACTGAGGACCAAGTCACTCGCCTAAATCTGGGCATAAACTGTCATGTTATGTCCAGACCGAGTGAAATGGCCCGGAAAGTAGAGTTGGAAATTCTGTTGGACGACATATTCGACCTCGAGACACAAAAGAAGGTCACTACCAAAGATACCTTACAAGCAGAACTTATTGCAGAAGGAGGAAAGAATCGAGGCAACTACAGAAGCACCATACTGTCCCCCGAGCTTAAAGCGGCAGCTAAAAGCCTTCGTGAGAACAAGGAGATAGTTGTCAGGAGAGGTGACAAGTCGCCAATATATGTCATTCTTAAAAAAGACGAATATCTGGCGAAAATGAACATCATACTCTCTGACCAAACTAAGTTCCAAAGGGTAACGAAGGACACTACAGCCGAATTAAAAGCAAAGGTCAACAAACTGATCGAAACTGTGAACGCCAAGAAATCCGGACTCCACCTGCCAAAGATCATTGGGGAATATAAACCTGGATATGCGTATGGAAATGTCAAGACGCACAAGCCTGGAAACCCACTTCGGCCAATCATTAGCCAGATACCCACACCCACGTACAGACTGGCGAAGCGACTCAACGGCCTGCTGACTCCTTATGTTCCTTGCGCCTTCAGCCTGAAGTCTCCAAAGGAATTTGTGGACTTACTGCGGGGCGCACGGGCCACAGGGATAAGAGCCTCGTTGGACGTAGAATCGCTGTTTACCAACGTACCTGTGGACGAGACAATCGGAATGATAGCCGACAGAGTGTATCGTGATCCAGCCTGTACTCCTCTTGACATGCCAGAAAGTATTCTGAGGAAACTACTCCAAGCTTGTACTAAAGAGGCACCCTTCTTGAGCCCGGATGGGCACATGTATAAGCAAGTAGATGGGGTCGCCATGGGTTCTCCCCTAGGTGTCCTGTTTGCAAACTTCTACATGGGTACCATCGAGCAAAAAGTCTAAGTCGACATGAACTTGAAACCGGCCATATACTGCAGGTATGTTGACGACATTTTTACACAGGTACCTGATGTCAGACATCTGCAGGAGCTGAAGGAGGCATTTGAGCAGAGTTCCGTGCTGCGTTTCACTTACGAGACGGAAAAGGATGGGAAGCTGCCTTTTCTAGATGTAACAGTCATGGAAAAGGGCGGAGGTTTCCACACTGCAGTCTACACTAAGGAAACAAACATAGGAATGTGCCTAAATGCCAACAGCGACTGCCCTGACAGGTACAAGAGGAGTGTTGTTAACGCATACGTCGACCGTGCTCTCAGCCACAGCTCAGAATGGAAGCAAGTCGACGAAGAACTCTGTAGGGTAAGGCAGGTCCTAGTCAATAACGGCTTCTCCAATGGTTTCATCGAAGACATCATAAGAAGGAAAGTGAAAAGCCATGCAACCTCCGAAGAGACAACTAACACAACACCTATACCCCCTATTAGACTATTTTACAGGAACTTCTTTTCCACAGCTCATAAAACGGAGGAAAGGGTCCTGAAAGATATTGTTAATAGAAACGTTATCCCTACAGACAAAAATCAGAGGATACAACTGACGATTTACTATAAAACCAGAAAAACGGCCAGCCTACTCTTGAGAAACTCTCCAGACACAAAACAGAACGCTTT